GTGCACCGAGATTTTGGCTTCAAGGCAATTGTTTTGTGTATGCTTGCAGTAATGTTGTATTATCATAATACAGTATGTATGTTCCCTTTAATTAATAAGTTTTCAGAGAGTCACATACTGACCAAGTGTACAATTCTGCTGTAGATAATATTCTCCAGAAGAATGCAATGAAGTGCCATGTTCTGGCACTGAGATGTTGTACATAACCATGTTCTGGCACTGAGATGTTGTACATCACCATGTTGTGGAATATTGTACATGTTCTGGCACTGAGAATATTGTACATAACCATGTTCTGGCACTGAGATGTTGTACATTTTCGCCATGAGATGTTGTGGAGCGCCATGTTCTGGCTCTGAGAATATTGTACATAACCATGTTCTGGCACTGAGATGTTGTACATCGCCATGTTGTGGAGCGCCATGTTCTGGCTCTGAGAATATTGTACATAACCATGTTCTGGCACTGAGATGTTGTACATCGCCATGTTGTGGAGCGCCATGTTCTGGCTCTGAGAATATTGTACATAACCATGTTCTGGCACTGAGATGTTGTACATCGCCATGTTGTGGAGCGCCATGTTCTGGCTCTGAGAAAATTGTACATAACCATGTTCTGGCACTGAGATGTTGTACATCGCCATGTTCTGGCTCTGAGAATATTGTACATCACCATTTTCTGGCACCGAGGTGTTGTACATCGCCATGTTGTGGAGCGCCATGTTCTGGCTCTGAGAATATTGTACATAACCATGTTCTGGCACTGAGATGTTGTACATCGCCCTGTTGTGGAGCGCCATGTTCTGGCTCTGAGATGTTGTGGAGAACCATGTTCTGGCACCGAGATGTTGAGTGCCATGTTCTGGCACAGCAAATATTGTACATAACCATTTTCTGGCACCGAGATGTTGAGTGCCATGTTCTGGCACAGCAAATATTGTACATAACCATGTTCTGGCACTGAGATGTTGTGGAGCACCATGTTCTGGCACCGAGATGTTGAGTGCCATGTTCTGGCACAGCAAATATTGTACATCACCATGTTCTGGCACTGAGATGTTGAGTGCCATGTTCTGGCACAGCAAATATTGTACATAACCATGTTCTGGCACTGAGATGTTGTGGAGCACCATGTTCTGGCACTGAGATGTTGAGTGCCATGTTCTGGCACAGCAAATATTGTACATAACCATGTTCTGGCACTGAGATGTTGTGGAGCACCATGTTCTGGCACCGAGATGTTGAGTGCCATGTTCTGGCACAGCAAATATTGTACATCACCATGTTCTGGCACTGAGATGTTGAGTGCCATGTTCTGGCACAGCAAATATTGTACATAACCATGTTCTGGCAGCGAGATGTTGAGTGCCATGTTCTGGCACAGCAAATATTGTACATCACCATCTTCTGGCACTGAGATGTTGAGTGCCATGTTCTGGCACAGCAAATATTGTACATCACCATGTTCTGGCACTGAGATGTTGAATGCCATGTTCTGGCACAGCAAATATTGTACATAACCATGTTCTGGCACTGAGATGTTGTGGAGCACCATGTTCTGGCACCGAGATGTTGAGTGCCATGTTGTGGCGCACCATGTTTTGGCACTGAGAATGTTGGATAGCACCAGCCTTTGGTGTAGACGATAGTCTCTTGTTGTTCAGACAAACTATATTTTCCATGTAGTTCCAGGAGAAACACAAGACTCACAAAGTATTTGGGATTTCTTTATTATAGCTGTTAAGTACAGCTAGACTCGCAATAACATGATACACATGTTGACAAGAGTAGCAACACTCGCAGACAACCATCGACAATCACACCGCCTGGCACTCACATTCTTTCCCTCATAACAACTGTCTGCAGAGCAGGAAGGCTGTTTCAGCAACATGACAACCAGACTAGTCACTAGTTGGATAGATCCTAGCTGAGACTATCAGCAAGCCAATAGAAATATACTACTAACAATGTTGCAGTATATACTACTCAAAAGAACACCTGATTCCTTCACATTATTGTAATTTTACCCTAAGTTAAAGAAAAAACCCTGATTCTTTCATACAATTGTAGTTATACAGTCACAGCTGATGGGTATTGCAATACAAACCCTTTCAATTGTTATGATGTTTAAGTAGTATATATTGAAACTGTGAAAAGGAATGATGTTGATTTATTTTTTATTAAGTCAAATATTTCATTCACTGGGAGTAGTCTGCTAGAGGATTTATAATTTTCTAAGGTATTTGAATTTAGGGACCTCTAAACCTTTCAACATTGGTTTAATGTCAAGGACACCATGATGTTTATGTATAAATTAACACTGCAAAATGAAGTTGAAAATAATTCCATCTTCTGTGTTCCTGAACTCCCAGTGGGACTCAACTTGTAAATCTTAGCTCTTAGCTTAACTTAAAGCTTACACAGAAAATTGTATTGTTTTATGAATTCAAACCGCATCAAATTTTGTCAGATGTGGAGTGAAGAAAGGAAGAATATAGAAAGGAGGAAAGAGATAGAAAACACTGAAATCACAGCATAGGCATGACAAGACAGAAACTTTAAATCAACGCGGGATATACTTGATTCTGATTAGTCAATCACATATAATATACAATAATCACCTTTGATGTAAACAACAGATCTGATGACATAATCCACTGCAGAAGATAACACCAAAAGAACAGTGCTCCTTTCTCAGTCATTGATCTAGGAGCTGAGAAGCGTATCACTGATTGCTCTAATCTCGAGGCAAATATACACCACTGAAGTTTCCTGATCAGGGTGCAGGAGATGCCGGACAGGCTTGTAACAGAATTAGTTGGTCTGGGCCCACTTGCACAAAGGGATCATCATGTTACAACTCACTTCATTTAACATAGATTTACGAGTCATAGTCCTAAGGGAACTTTGTGCAAATGGCCCCCATCCTGATAAACAGGAGATCCCCTATTCATACCGATAACTTTAGCTCATCATTGTGTTTGGTTGGTCGTGTGTATCAAAAAAAAAGAAGCAAAAGAAAGACAGAGTAACTGGTTTTGCCTGGAAACCCTGGCGCATCTCTGTCAAATCAGATCTCTGTGCTCGCTACAGCTAAACAAATACCACACATAAAATCAGAATGCTGTGTGTTAACCTTCTCTGTGACAAAGATTACAAAACACAGTCTGAATTATATTTGTGCCATGTTGATAGTGACCCTCTGGTTGGTTGGATGCAAGGCTGTTCTGGCCTGATATGTGATGCTGATCTCACATCTAAGTGCAGCAACAATAAGCACTAAGATCTGATTTTATCGAGACTCTGTGTTCCCATGGCAACAGTCACATTCCACATGTCTAGAAAACATGATCAGTATAAGAAGCTAGACAGCTTGTGTGAAGACCGCATCACTGCAGCGAGCAAGTCGTGTTAAACGGAACACAACCACTGTCACCGTTACTTCAGCCCCATCTCACCACAGCCTCAATCCAAGAACAGTCCTAGGAAACTGCAGCTGTACATAATCCACACAACAGTCTCAGTAGACTGTAGATAATCATTGCGGCTCATTGCTATATAACAACAGTCGAACAAGAAGTATAAACATTAATCCCATTCACCATGGCCGATTCATTTGTAAATGCATCTGGATATATACTCTCCGTGTTAGCAATCACGGGGAAAACAAGCATGATCAGATCAACAACTCAACATTCTAGGCTTCACCAGTGTACACTATGTTGGCATTCCTTTCAACCTTAGGGTCAGTTCAACTATTTTAGAGTGTATGTGTGTTTGCAGAGAGTTATGAAAATAATAAAAAAAAGCACTGAAAATAAAGAAAGAAATGAAAATAAACCCCCCAAAACCATCCCTTTCTTATGCATGGCATACCTTTGAAGGACCCATGTACATTTATTTAAAGACCATCCCAGAAAAGACAAATGAACATGGAATTTATCTTTTTGGTATAAAATGCCCATCTTTTTAATGACCCTCCTAAAATATGTTTATTATCATTCATGACCCTCCCCTAGAAACATATATCTGGTGACCATTCATACTTTCTCTGTGGAACAACCCTAAAACCCAACCCCAAATCCCGCTCCCTTTTGAAGCCATGACATCAGAATTAGGCTTAAATATGCAGTACATTTCCTACATCAGTCTTATGCAGTCAGTAGTGCCACTTCCAAACAGCACAACTACAGAATCATGTACCGGGTATGTTACAGTATAATGTACCGGGTATGTTACAGTATAATGTACCGGGTATGTTACAGTATAATGTACCGGGTATGTTACAGTATAATGTACCGGGTATGTTACAGTATAATGTACCGGGTATGTTACAGTATAATGTACCGGGTATGTTACAGTATAATGTACCGGGTATATTACAGTATAATGTATGCTACTCAAGAGAAGTTAAAGAATGCTGAACTTCTTCATATGGCCACAGTGAATCATGACCTTGACAGAGTAACTGTATTTAGGCCAGACCAATTTTACTTCTTGTTTTACGGATTTTTGTCCTCAGAAAACCTAAGGGCAGGAGGGAAAATAAAAGTAAAAATAAAATGATCAGTCAAAGTAATATTCCTTCTAAATACTAAAAGTATTTTACTTTTGGCAATTTATGACTGTCTGACTCATATTTTGGTTTTACGCTTTTAGCAAAATTCCAGCAACATCATGGCAAGGGACACCAGAAATGGGCTTCACACATTGTACCCATGTTTATTCAACCCGGTCTTCAATGAAAGCTAACGCTTTAACCACTAGGCTACCCCACATTCGCAATTTATGAAGTGTATATGGGGCCAAAACAATCTAAAAGAAGTTTTCTTGTAAGTTTACATTTTTGCCAATAAAAATATAAGGATTTTATTTTTGAGCGGGAAAATGAATTTTTATTTTTTTTCTTATTCTTGAAAAAATATGACCAGTGGATCCGTACAACAAGAAATAAAATTGGTCTGGCCTTATGTATATTTAAAAAATGAAAACAAACCCTCGTATACTTTAAGTTCTCTTGAGTAGCGCATGAAGACATCTGGTACATACATACCATAGATCATACCCACAGCTTCTGCAGGTCAGAAGCACATGGTAAACAATGGCACATGTATTTATTATGTTTGCATATAGTGAAACAAACCTCATCTGCTTTGAACAAAATACTGCTTGACACCAACGCTAGATAATTAAATTCCATTCACAGAAAATATCTTCAAAACAACGAAAGGAGTTGGAAGAAACAACCAAAGATAACACTGTGCCTGCACAAGGTCAGGGATTCTTGCTGAACTTTCTCTTTGTACTTCTTGTCATGAGTTCAAGTTCTTTTCTTTTTGCTACAGTAGACATATGAGTGAGTGAGTTGAGTTTTATGCCGCACTCAGCAATATTCCAGCTATATGGCGGCGGTCTGTAAATAATCGAGTCTGGACCAGACAATCCAGTGATCAACATCATGAGCATAGATTTGCTCAATTGGGAACAGATGACATGTGTCAACGAAGCCAGAGAGCCTGACCACCCGATCCCGTTAGTCGCCTCTTACAAAGCAGATATGTGAAGGAAGTATATTCCTGATTAATTATATAAACTGGCTAATTATATTTTGGACATCAATGCAGCATTTTAAAGAAATGACAATTAAACATCCATCACTTTTGGTTAAGACTAAAATAGCCATCTTCAGTTAAAGGTGTGATCCTTACAAAATGTTGAATATATAGAAAATGCTGAAAATTTAACAAACACTCATCTTATTTTCACATTTCTGTAGTTACTGTCATGTCATGATCATGCCACTAATTCTGAGTAGTATATTTGAGACAAGAGACAGGTCAATGGTTGAACAAAACAAGAAAAATGTCTGAAAGGTGAGCTGGACAAAATGCAAGTAATGTTGGGGTTTTTTTTCACAGTATTTCTGGAAAAAGATCAAGAAGAGAAAACAGCCCCCTAACCCTACCCCAGGACCCATCACAAAGCCAGTCTTAAGATGACTGATAAATGTCTATGTCCAGTTTTCTACGAGTCACAAACTATCAAGTGCAAGTCAAAAGACAAGTCAATGAATTGTGAAATCACAGACCACACCATACCTTTATATAGTTTGTCTTTACTAGCTGTATGAGGACCATGCTTATGCTAACATATGTTCCGAGTGATAGCTACAGCAAATTAACCGTGCAGTGCGCAGATAAAACAGGTGAATAAATTATACATTACACAGGTTAAAAACAATGCAAGAAAAACCATGACAACCAGATTCACATCATTCATCCAACAGCAACCATTCTGGCAAATAAATATTACAACCATGTTTTAGACATGCTAGGAACGGTCCTGAGATGGTGGAGGAATACAACCTGGAATGATCCGTTACAGCTACTGTTGTCACTCTACGTTGCCCCAAACAGCTATGGTTGATGCACTGGTGGCACACTACGTTGCCCATCTACTGTGTTACTGTGACTTAACTCAGGGTCGTCATATGAGCGAAATATTCTCAAGCACGACGTTAAACCCAATTTCACCTTAACTCAGGATGGTATAAGCTGGAGTTCTGGACCTAGTGTATCTTGCTCACCTCTAAAATCATCACGTGTATCTACAGCCAACACTGTCAGAAGTAGTACAGACAGAAGAGAATGGGACCACCCCCCATTATTAAGCGTTTTCACCTCACGTCTGCTCCAACAGCCCCCACAAACACAGGACAAATTTAGCAGAACACCAAATGATGTCCCACTGATGTTCTCATTGTCTATACTACTGTCAGACCTCAACCTTACACTTAATGTCACAGAAACAAGTGTCCCAAGCTTATCATTATCTAGGTCCGAGCAGGGCGTGGGACAGAGTCCTTCGCCTTCACTACCTGACTTTGGGTAAATGTTTACTGTGGCAGTTTCTCACAATGACCTTTTGTCCCCTGAACACGACCTTGACAAACTTTCCTATCCTCACTAAAAGACACAGACTGTGGGTGTATGATACAGGGGATGACAGGATGGTTACACTATGCATTCTGTATGCTACATGGTGTGAGAAGTTCACTCAACACCCCAAAGTTTAAGATGACATTTTACACAGTCAGGGAGCTAATATTCTGCTACAGTGGTCACACTCACACCAGCATAGCTCAAACATCTACAAGTAGCCATTCACACCCCCACACCAATTCTCTTCTGACAGCAATTTCTAATCTAGCCATTACTTCACACTTTTACAAATGTTATGTCATACTATGAGCATGGCTACAACCTGTGGATGACTCTATAATTCCCTATGGTGGCATTTTGAATTTTGAATAGAGAAAAATAATATTGTAAAAATTGAATTTAGGATAGTAACTGGAAATGCCCTTAAGGCAACTTTTCTCAGAGGTACGAAACATAATTATGATCATGGATGTCTACATTTCCTTTTAACTTGGGAACATCTACAAGACAATAACAAATGGCCAGAACATAAAGCTGATCCCTAAGTGAGTGAGTGAGTGAGTGAGTGTGTGTGTGTGTGTGTGTGTGTGTGTGTGTGAGTGAGAGAGAGTGAGTGAGAGTGAGAGTGAGAGCCACAGTCAGCATTACTCCATCTATACTACTCAACCAAAGTTAAGGCAAACTGATTCTTAATATTGTTCATCTCTGTCGTGGCATGACAGATTCACATATGGTGATCCTTCACTCCTTTTGAGTTTTATAATCAAGTCTACCTGGAAGTATACAAATCTGGGCCAGACAAACCAGTGGTTGATACAATGAGCATGCCACAATGCAACAACATGCAATCAACCACATCACCAAACCTGACACCCTAATTCATTTTAATCACCTCTTACAAGCATAGATTGACACGGACCAGTTTTAATCCAGGATAAAATCACATAAAAAATGTCCAGCTATTTCAATTCCTGCCTCTAGCCAGATGGGGATGATTTGATATCATCATTATCAGTTTGATTGTGTGATAAAATAAAGTCTTACTAAAGACAGCCACATGAAAATCAGGAAGAACAAATGCCATGGATGAATGTAAACATGAACATATTTGGTTTAAAATCCCATCAGTCATCATTGGAGAAACTGCAGAACATTATAATGAAACACATAGGAATGGCTCCAGGCATTGTCAAGGGAAGCAACTCCGCAATATTGAGTTTCAGCACTACAGACCTTCAGCTCAGCTCAATGATGATTATATAGCATCATGTCTGCATTATCAAATTGTTACAAGGGAACAGCTCCATATTCCATTGACACTTCTCAAGTTGATGATTCCTACTAAAAATATGCTTAAAAACCAAGTTAAAACATAATGGAGGCTCATGTTAAAATAGTGCCCATAGGTGCGAACCGAAATGAGAAGAAGATCAATGCCCAGTTCCACCAAGCCATCACAAAGATAAGATGATCACATACTTCAACACTGACTTCTGCTCCCTTCCCTTCCAGGAATGGGCCCAGTGTTGGACATTGATCAGGGTGATTTGCAGATTATATTTTGATGAATATTGTGGGCCAACATTACAAATAGCAAGATACACACACACAGCATACTTCCTCAAAACATAAACTTAAAATGCATGTTCCACAAACCAGATCAGCCGTGTTGCCATTATCAGGGAAGACATGATAGCAATCCAAGACATGTCAACAATACAATTTATTATCATAATAAACTGTTCAGTTATTCTAAATACCACAAAGTTGATAAATCTGAACAAACATAGCGACAGGCAGATGAGGCAGGCAAGCTATTACCTCCCTCAAAGAACATTCTGACAACTCCATCACTATCTGACCTCAATGACCTTCAGACACAAGGTCAAGTACAATCACTGTTTCAAAGGCAGCATCAAGAAGCACCTAGGAAAATACTACATGATCTTCAATCACAAGCTCTGTTAGTGAGTGTGGGATCAACCAGTAAATGTTCAGGGTAAGTTTTCTTATACTGAGCAAAGATCCAAAGAGAAAAAGAACACCTGATTCCATCCGTTCACTATAGCTAATCTGTCTGACACATTACTATTGTAATAAACAAGAATCAAATGGTCTTAAACTCCTTTGTGTAGTACATTTATATTACAGAGTGCATCAAGACATATTTTTTTTTTAGTAAAAGAAAATCTGACCTATTTGTTTGTACCCTCAACATGATATTTTTCAGAACATTTTGTATCCTAAGCGAACAATATATTTTAATGACCTGAGGAGAAATGATTTTTTCAAGCATTTTGGATACTGCTTTTGTTTTATTTTTTAAAATTCCCCACAATAAACTGGATGGCCCGACACAAATTACTCCTGCCGCTGGTAAAGAGCAAACGTTTGAAGGTCTCACTATGTACCTAGATATCACTATGCGGTCAGCAAAGACAAGAGCTTATAAACTCGTCAAGCCAACAGTGTCCTGTCACATATGGACTCCAACCCACAGTGTCCTAGCACACACAGTCTGGTTAAACACCTGTTAAAACAGTGACGTCACAGGAAGATGTCTGAAGATGCACTGGAAAAGTGAGCTACTTGTTCATTACATGTAGTGGAGAATGCAGTTCTGATCTGTGGCAATACAGGGTCTTGTAACAAACAATACTGAAAATAATAAAGCATTTTCTAATGCCATTCTATGCAACTTGCCAAAGAGTATTGTAAGTATTTACATGCAGTGTTGTCTTGTGCAGTTCTGTCAAACTAACAAAGGAAAATATAATCAAACATTGTCTTTCTGCTCAAAAACATGAAAGTAGTCTATATTTTACCCCTCGATCTGGAACAGGATTGCCCCAGAATGAATTTCTTGCAATAAATCATCCAGACAATGTATCGCTTGAGGAAAACATGAGCATTGGCCATTTTCTTGCACTAATTTCTTTTTGTCTTATGGAAAGTTTCACAAAAAGTTATTGTTCTGAGTTCTAAAGATTCAATGAAATTTGATTATCAGGCAGTTTAAGCCTGAGACTGACCTTGAGGATGGTACTAAGGTCAAGAGGTGTTGGAAGATTTAGCACTTCTGTTTGATACCTGCTCACAGGAAGTTTAGTCATTATCACACTTGATTTGTTGATTGTACATTTGTTATGTTGTCAAGGTAACTATGTTGTCTAGGTAACTATGGACAACATGGTAACACATGCTGTGTTGAGGACAAGATATCAAAGCCATCCCTATTCAGATCATGAACAAGTCAGGAACTGTCAAACGGGAGCAGACATATTTATGGTTCCTCTTTGTTTATTCACTACTTTCCTTCCATAACAATTAGTATGTATCACAACTGTCAACACCAGACAAGGAAGTCGTTAGTGAGGTTTATGCAGATCATGTCAACACCAAGCAGTAGTCAGGCCATCACCTGATTCTGCTGGAAGCAACAAAACTTTACCACTTGTTCACAAACTCAACAACGCTGGCCTCCGGAGCAGCAGATGTAGTACGGGATTTCTACAGCCAAACACAACAAACTACCCTAAAACAGATCATCCTTCATCTAGGCAGAGGTGCATAACAGTCATATCAGCACACAGCAAGACCCCTTGGCTTCCAGATCCACACTTCACCCACACTTGGTGCAACCATGGTAACACATGGTGCAACCATGCCATGGCAACTAGTCCCTGGTTACTAAACAGTGTAATGTAAAGGACTAGAACCTTTCTTCCAAATGTAGTAACTTTACATATCACACTAGTCTAGCTTACAAGACCACTTGATTCGAGATTTGAGAATATAGCTGAAGCTCATTGCCCAAAGGTTGATTAAGCAAACTGACTCCTGGTACACACAATATGGGTGCGGTCATATTGTGAAGATCAAGCGAATTGAGTCCTTTCAGAAAACACTATACATGGAACACACCATATTTCCTCTAATAAGCACCAGGCCTCTAAAAGTGCTGGGGGTAAATCAGCAGTTTAAGAAATAAGCGTCAGACCTCTAATAAGCGCAGTGTCTCTAAAAAACGCCAGGTACGTTTTTTATGAATGTATTCTCCCTGGATACAAAAACTGATTTGACATAATGCTCACTAACAATTAATTACGGTACAACCAGTAAGTGCAATAAGTGCCGGGTCTCCAATAGCGCCAGGACTCTAATAAGCACTGGGTCGGGAAGTCTGTTGAAAAAATAAGCGCCTTATTAGAGGAAATATGGTTTTCTCCATTCCTTAGTAGTGTGTAGCCTTTATGAGCTCATACCAAGATAACAAAAGTTTTGAAGATGAGACAATGGAATAGATGAAGCCATCAACATGTCTCAATTACACACAGGATGAAGTCTTAACATTCTTCCACAATCCTGTTCACATATAATCAGGTACAGGTTCAGAATCGTTATGCGTACTGCCAATCTGGGCCTGTTCCACAAAGCAATCCAAGCACAAAGGTGACTCTTACCCTCATACTGTAACATAGGCTTATGGTAGTTGTTGCGCAAAGTTTGCTTTGTGGAAAGGGGCACTGATTATCAAACCTTAGGAATGGTCTAACTATCTAAACAAGATTTGCTGTTTCAGAAATGTTTGAGTGAGTCAAGACCACACAATCACATACAGGTGAGGTCTAATGTGAAAGTTCTTAATTGTGATAACCTGTTTGTGCAGATGTCTCGAAAAGAAGTCAGGATTTTGATAAGTTTGTGAAGGACAACTGAGTAACGACCTTGACATTGGTGGATGCTAGAACAACTCAGACAACTAAGACAAATATTTGTAACACAATCCACACGAATTGCTCAGTTTGATGGTACAAAATGTTTGTGTTCTGGTGTGCAAATAGATCTACATATCACTTGATTACCGGTATCCCAAGGACAAGCATGTAAATAAAATTCCACAAAAAGTTCAAAATATATTTCTAAAGAACAGTCAAAAAAGAACAGAAAATAAACTATCTGAAAATATTAGTAAAACATTTATAAATCATTTATGCAGCTGAAACATTCCTAGTTCAACAATCAGGAATAAAGCTATAAAGATAGGAAACAGTTCTTTTAAACCATACTTAAACATAACAAGTAATTTTGGATGTCAAACCTAACACCAGCGTGCACCTCTACTTATCCTACATCTTGGGTGAAAACATTAAGTACATCACAGCTGTGAAATATTATTCATACCTGTATTATATTAAATCTATCACAATAGTACATAATAAATAGTTCAGGTCTCACGTCCATGACGTGACCATAGCGATAAGATGATCGTAACTCCCATACTTTAACACAGACTTACGACAACTGTTGAGGTACGGTCACTTTGTGTATAGCAGTCATAACACTTCCAAGTCCCATGCTAAGATTCGAAACACGGACCTTTCGATCCGATGTCGGACACCTTACCCACATGACCAAAGAGGTTAAACACCCCCCCCCCAGCAAGCTAACAAGGTAAGGATGTCACCTATGGGATAACGTCATGCTCTGCTACATACCCCCCTGTCAAGAGAAGGCATGTGGGGCCGCATAGCAGGGTACTGAGACTTATTTTGCTCAAATTTCATATAAATGTGCACAACACCAAGTTGGGTGCCAACATTTCCCATATTGGGATTCGAACCACAGGCCTTCTGACAAGCGTAAGGATGTCTCCTATGGGATGACTCTACGCCCTGCTACATGTGGACAGAGGACCTGGGTCCATGTGTACAAAGCAATCTTAGCTCTACGACTATCATAGTCTGTGTGAAAGTGTGGGAGTTATTATCTTAGTCCTACGATCACTTAGTGGACAAGGGCCCTGTAAGTCAGGACTTACCCCGTAAACAGATGAGGTTGTTGCCATGGTAATATCAATTATTCCTTCCACTACCAGATATAACAATGTTACAATTGATGCCATGAACAGTGTAAAGGCTATAAGGCTAAAGGCTATTATTGACCATAGCAAAATGTCTCATTCAGCACAATTACTAAGACATTGATCACAAAAGAGCTGGGTAATACACAACCTAAATTCAACACCACATGATAGGCAGCAAGAATGAGAAAATAACATACTGCACAACCGACTACCTCATATGGCAAGTGTACGTACGTAGAGAATTGAAAGATAAATAACACAGTACATTTGGCCCAAAAGATAAATACTTGTGTTTCTCTATAAGATCAATATTGATATGGGTCAGAACGATAAATAATTTGATTCTATTAACTCATATATAATGAACAAAATAATTGACAGATCACGAATATATTGGGGGATTTTTTTTTTGTAGTGATGACTGAGCCCACAGTTCAAAAATATCTCCCAAAAGATGCATGACCTCTAACCTTTTTGTTCGCTATAGTTGTTTTTTGATAACTCGTTTTCTTGAAACACAAGCATTTTCTTTTCGCCTGACAGATCTAGCACTGAGATTACTTATTTCTTCTTGACGGTAAAGGGCTCAGCTGTAGCAGGGATGGGCAACTTGCGTTGTTTCCGTGGCCATGTCCCAGGATCAAATCCACCTGACGAGACTTTCATTGCTTCCAGGGAGGCATTTGTAACAGCTGGGGAGATGAACCCTTCGCAAATGCTGGGTGCCTAATACTAGCTACATGCAGATTCTGTGCAGACTTTGAAGAAGTGGGCTGCCCCTTGCCATCCAGGGCAAAACCCATCTGCTCCTGAGACGGTGAGTCCATATCAAGTTCATCATCTTCATCGTTGTAACTCATGTTTGAGAATGCTGCACTTGCAATATCACGACTAGGTTTCTTGGATTTGACTTTGGTTTTGGAATGTTTTGACATAGCAGGATAATCACTGTCTGTGACAAGAGCCTGATCATCCTCCAAGAAAAGGTCGTCAGGTCTCTGTCTGTGTGGGGAGGAGATGGTCTGACCAATGGTCTTGCTGGAACTGGCCGTATGCTGACCCTTCATGGGCGTGCTGGTCATCACAGCAGACTTGGACATGCTTGTATAGCCTAACATCTGCCCCCCTGGACTAGAGGACTGCGTCTGCTCGTCTCTCCGGAT